TAAGTTTCATCATTTTAGCTTAAAAAATGATAAAAAATAAAAATATATATCTAATCAATAGGCTAAAAAATAAATTTCAAGCTTCTAGCTTTAAACATGACGATACATCTACATATATGACCTTGGACCTACCCTTTCAATCCTCTTGTAACCCTTTTTCACATTAAAAAGTAACCTATGTCCTTTCTCAGGATCTAGTCTATCTACGTCTGTTTCAAATTTCAATTTAAATCGGTTCAGTATTTTTGGCCTGTAAGCAAGACAAACAGACAAAGTTACTTTCACATTTATAATATCAGTAAGGTATTTAATAAACTAACTCTAAAAAGACAAAGAAAAAAGTTTAATCGTTCTAGCTTCCATAACCACACAAACAGCAAATTTCCACAATAACTTTCATTCCCTATTTTATTTTACTACCCCCCCTCCCTCCCCCTAAGAGTAAAAATTTTACAAACGCTGAATGTCATATTTATTGATATTTAAACAACAGCCTAAAAATGAGTCTCAAACTTCTAGTTTTAAAAAATGACGATTCTTCCATACAGCGTACCATTGCAACCCCCTTACAATGCTTTTTTCACATTCAAAAGTAACCTATATTCTTTGTCCGGGTGTAAAATAACTGTGTACCAAATTTCATTTAAATTTTAGTTTCGTTTTGGTGCGTAAGACTGACAGAAAGACAAACAGAGTTACTTTCACAGTTATAACATTAGTGGGGTATTTAAAAATCTACCCCAAAAGAACCAATGAAAATAGTTTCATCGTTCTAGTTTAAAAAATTACGAATTTACATAATAACTATCATCCCTTATTTTATTTTACCCCCTTAAGGGTATTTTTTTTACAAACAATGTATGTCATATTTATTTATATTTAATCAACAGCCTCAAAAATAAGTTTCAAGCTTCTAGCTTCAAAAATGACGAATTTACGTTAAAATTTGCATCCCCTATTTTACTTTACCCCCTTAAGGGTAATTTTTTACAAACAATGAATGTCATTTTTATTTATATTTAATCAACAGCCTCAAAAATAAGTTTCAAGCTTGTAGCTTCAAACTTCAATGACGATTCTTCCATACAATCTTTCATCCCCCCTTTTAACCCCTTACAACCCTTTTTTCGCATTAAAAAGTAGCCTATGTCCGTTCTCAGGGCCTAGACTATCTGTATACCAAATTTCATTCAAATCGGTTCAGTAGTTTTGGCGTGAAAGCGAGACAGACAGACAGAGTTACTTTCGCATTTATAATATTAGTTTTTGTCGCAGCACAAAAATATATTTTTATCGTTTCCGTACAAATAGTAATTTTACAGTATTAATCTACAAACCAACATTTTGTTTCTTACAATCAGCTAAATAATTTAAATAGTTTCATAATACATGACACAATGAAAAGGTCATTTATTTTATAAAAATGACAGTTAGTTTTTATTTTAGTGAAAAATAAGAAAATTCTATTTTGATACAACAACCATATATTTATTAATACCTATACTTTATTAATTTTGTGTTAATGCTTTTTAAATAAACACCCACACATTATTTCTGTATAACCTACAAAAATGGGTAAATAATTTAATTTCGGATAGTGCCACACCACAACATTCTTTAAAAAATGTAAATAATAAAATGTGAAGAAATTGTGATTGTTATTAAGTTTTTTTTTTAATAAGTTCGTCAGAACAGAGAAACGACATTTGACATTTATTATTATTTGACATTGACTTTAATTTTTGTAATTTATATTGTAAAACTTTAAGTTGGGCTAAACAGGACTTGTATCCAGAACCGTAAAACAAATTAATAAAAAAAATCGCCAAATTTGTCTCGCAATCGACCAATTTCTGGTTTAAAGAAAAAACACATACACACGATATACGATTTTATCATAAAAAAGTGTCAAAAAACAATATTTTCGCTAAACGTCAACGTCATGTTTCCGGCAAGATCTTTCGTTTTACATTATGTTATCTGTGGTTTTGTTCTCTGTGATGGATACCTTATTGGCGCAAACGCACGCGATGTGTTGATTGGTTGTTAGCTAGTGAAATGAAAAGATGGCGAATGGCGCAAACGCACGCGATGTGTTGATTGGTTGTTAGCTAGTGAAATGAAAAGATGACGAATAAGTATTCAGCCGCATAAAGATAACCTTGTATTTCCATTTTGAACCCCTTACAACCCTTTTTACGCATTAAAAAGTAGCCTATGTCCTTCCTCGGCGTCTAGACTATCTGCGTACTAAATTTCATTTAAATCGGTTCAGTAGTTTTGGCGTGAAAGCGAGACAGACAGACAGACAGAGTTACTTTCGCATTTATAATATTAGTAAGGATTTCTAATGAAACGTAAGACGACTCCGTGCTGAGCGAGCGAGCGGACAGAGCGAGTGTTGTACTATGACGTCACACCGTCACACGAGTCCGCATCGCACGTTTACTTCTATAAATCAGAAACTGATTCACGTATTGAAGTAATTCTTTCACTTATATTTTTTATTTTTGACAGAGAATATGGAAAGCTAATATTCAAAATTAGTTAACATTCTTCATTATGCCCGCGACTTCGTCCGCGTGAAATATGTATTTTATATTATAGACCAGAAAAGTTTTATCGTTCTATTTAAAAATGACAATACTTTGATACAACCTTTCATCTCCGTTTTCAATCTCTTACAACCCTTTTTCGCAAAAATGTAGCCTATGTCCTTTCCCAGCGTTTCGACTATCTGTGTACTAAATTTTATTTAAATCGGTTCAGTAATTTTGGCGTAAAATCGTGACAGACAGAAAAACAGAGTCATTCTCGTATTTATAATATTATAATAGTAAGGATTTGTATGTCTGAATGTCCACAGGTACATAGAATATTTATTTATAACATATCAGATAAAACGATTTGCCCTACTTCTTCCGAATACGTTGCTTCGCCAATTTTTATCAAGAAATTAGAAAATTCATGTGCATTTATGTTTTATGCTGTCCGTGACCTTATATTCACTGTTAAGTACATGTGTCACTAAAGAGTTGAGGTCTTTTAAGCATGCTATCATCTCATTGCTCTATGGTCATTGTGATACTACTCTCGGGGCGGGCCTGCAGTCATATCTCATTAAAAAAAAGTGAGGTATGGACGCAGGCCTACTCTACCACCTCCTTCAGAGGCGGTAGGGAGGCGCGGTCTTAAGGGAGAGCGCAAGTCGTGTAGATCCTTAAGGCAAGTTCGGTAGATATCCTTCACGAGGTTGCCGCCCTGTTATTGGTCTAGTTCCCTATGAAATAGACGTAACCGAAACTACCGGGCGACAAATGCAGGGATGAAGAGGTCATGTCCTTGCGTGTCCATCATCGAGCAAAAAACTGAAGGTGGATAGTAATGACCTCCCGCGTGTTTGTGCCGTGCGCGGTGACCCGTACGGAGGGATGAAGGAGTCCTGGCGGTTGAGTGCAGCAGGGTACCGGCTGTAGTTGTATGCTGCTCACAACACACCTCTTCGGTCTGGATTTCCTCTCAAACGGGCGGTCGTGGAGTAGCTAACCACGATCAACCGGCTGCGATTCCCCATAAGCGGGCAGTCAAGCGAGGCTCGGCGAGCTGGGGGGTGACAGTCGGCGTGGCGCGGTGCTTTGGGGCTAGCCTGCCTCATCTTCTCGTGAGGTAGGTGTCCTCGCTGTGCTTCGCTGCGTGCGGACTCGTCCACTTCTCAGCCTGCTGGACCTATACCAAGGGAGTAGCTCTGGCGATCATTCGTGGAACGAATGACGTCCCCGAAGTGAGGGCTCCGTGGAGGGTGGAGAGCTCCTGAGGTGATGTATATAAAAAACCAACTCTTGTATATAGAGGCAATAAAACCAAAAAACAAGAAGCAACAGGCTGCGTCTACGAATGCGCCAAAGCAACGACCATCGAAGGCTGCGTCGCAAGATGCGCCAAAACGACCAATAATCAAGGTCGCGTCATTTGATGCACCTGGACACTCTACCGGAGATGCGCCGAGCAAAGCTGCGTCCGAAGAACCGACGAGGAAGGGTACCGAACAGGATGCGCTACCCCAGGCTGCGTCCAGTGACGTACCATCCACGTCATCCAAGGATGCGCCGTGCAAGGCTGCGTCGCAGGAGATGATGAGGAAGGTTACCGACCGGTATGCGCCAACCAAGGCTGCGTCCCGTGGAGTACCAACCACATCATCCAAAGATGCGCTGGAAGAGGCAGCATCAGGGGACACGCCGAAAAAGGTGACTGAGCGGAATGCGCCAACCCAGGCTGCGTTCCGTAAAGTACCAGTAGCGTCGACCAAAGATGCGCCAAGAAAGGCAGCTCCAACTTCTCTGCCGAAGATAGTCGCCGCACCAGGGGAACCAAAGAAGGGTTCACTCCACGATGCGCCTAATAAGGCTGCGTCAACGAGTGAGCCATCCGAGGTGAACCTGGCGGCACTGTTCAAGGTGGAATCGGAGGAGATGTCTGTTTCAGCGGCATCAGGGACCGAATCGGACAACCAGGCTATGGACTTGACGTCACTGAAAGACGCGATCCAATCACCATCAAAGCCGAAACAACCAGGGAACACCTTAATAAAACCCAAATCGGCCTCCAAGAAGCGGCGCATGAAAGCCAGAGCCAAGGCAGCGGCACAACGCGCAGAAGCGGTAGATGCTGCGAGGCATCAACTCGGGTCCTGCCCAGCGACGACCAAACCTAAAGGGGAGGCGTCAACGAGTGGACCCAGTGCACCTGCAACTGGGACGAGGGCCGTTCTGGCTGCTGGCACACAAAAGCGCAGCATGAAACCGCGAGGCCGTAAGAAACCCAGGACCAACGACCCAAAAAACGAGGCAAGACCGCAAAAGCGTACACGTCCAGAAGACACCGTCACACCAACCGGGGAAGGTAAAAAACCCAGAACCGCTGGTGCGACGGGTAGGGGTTCTATGACATACGCAGAAGCGGCTGCCACCTACCTGGCCAACGAACTCTGTGTTGCGGTCATGGTGGAACCCTACTCTGACCTAACACAAGACCAAGCTGAGGATCTCAGGAAGCAGATTGAGGTGAGGCTCAGGCAACAAATAAGAGCCAACCTGACACTCCCAGCCAAAACCAGAAAGGACCTGAAACTCCGAGGCAAGGCTCATTTTGCGGATGGCGTCCTCAAAACCTGGTGCGAGGATGACTTCACCAGAGCCTGGCTAGAACAGACCGTCCAAACCATGGCCTCTCCAGTGGAAGACTCGAGCCTAGTCGTTCGACCACAATCGGCCATCCCGAAGAAGGTGCCGTGCCTGCTCTTCGTTCCAGGGGAAACCGGGGACACCACAGAACTGCGGGAACTTCTTTCGGGACAGAACAGTAACCTGAACATGAACTCCTGGACCCTGACACACGAGAGGATCAGGACAGACCCACCAGGGACTTGTCTGTTCTTCCGTATTCCTGAGACTGATGTCGACGTGTTAAGGGCCCAGGAAAGAAGGATTTACTACATGATGGGAAACATCTACGTTCGCTTCATGGACAAAGATGGTTCCCATCAAACAAAAACAAACACCAAACAGTCGGAAGTTACGAAAGTTGCTGAGCAGCAAACGGATCCTAAACCGACAACGTCGACAGAGGCTCCCGTAACTACGACAGAACAAGTAGTAACTCCGACTGCGATGGAAGTGCAGGATCCACCTTCTCCGGATTTCATCCTGGATGAAGAGTGCTTTCCGGCGGAGGGGGGAGAGAGCGAAGCTAGCGATAGCGTCCTCTACTCCTCCCCCCTACGGGAAGACTAAGATCCTGCAGTGCAACCTCCAGCACAGCCAAACTGCGACGGCTTCTCTTCGCAGAGTGCTGGAGAACAACGCAGAGACCATAGCCCTGATCCAAGAGCCGTGGATCAGGAAGAACAAAATTTGTGGTCTCGGAAATAGCGGAGGAAAAGTGATACTGGATACCTCCGTAAGTAAACCAAGAACATGCGTATTCTTACCCAACCATGTACAAACAACACTAATCAACGAATTCTGTTCAAGGGATTTAACACCAGTAAGAATTACCAGTGCAGCACACCTCCCTGACATCGTCCTCGCCTCAGCGTACATGCCGAGCGACGGGGAGATACCACCACCAGAGCTCGGCCAGCTGGCTGAGTACTGTGAGAGGGAGAAGCTGGAGCTGGTCGTCGGCACTGACTCCAACGCGCACCACACGCTGTGGGGCAACAGTAAGACGAACAACAGAGGTGAGGAATTAGCTCTTTTTATTCTTAGTAATAATCTCACTCTACAAAACAAGGGCTCGGAACCAACGTTCATAAATGCCCGATCACAAACCATAATAGACCTAACACTAACATCAACAGGCATCTCGGGGTCCATTCGTGATTGGCATGTGTCCAGCGAGCTTTCATGCTCCGATCACCGATGGATCCGTTTTACTATTGACATATCACTACCAAAACCCCAGCCGAGACGGATACCCCGGAACACGGACAAATCCAAATTCATAGGATTAGTTAGTGCTTACGTAGGGGAACAACTCTGCCTCCCTGACAACCTTGACAGAACGGAACTAGACAACTATGCAAACAACATTACGTCCATACTTACCTCTAGCTACGAACGGTCTTGCCCTCTTACCACACCCAAAAACAAAGGTAGGCAACACTGGTGGTGTTTCGAACTAGAGAAACATCGACGGAAGCTGAGGAAACTGTTCAACGCAGCTATGAACAGTAGATCACAAGGTGACTGGGACAAATACACAATTAAAAGGAAACAATATAAAAAACTAATTCGCCACAGACGACAAGAGTGTTGGAGGCGATTCTGTACCAACATAGACAATAACAACCAAGCAGTCAAAGTGAAGGCCTGCCTTTCCAAAGAGAAAGAACACACAATAGGCTGTCTTAAAAAACCGGATAATAGCTACACAACAAATGACACAGAAACCTGCGAACTACTACTGTCAACTCACTTCCCAGGATTCCTTGCGGACAATGACCACTCATGGAATTCCCAGGAAAGTAGGACAACCAGCAGCTCGGACTGGGAGATAGCAAGCAGAGTAATAAACAGAGAAAGACTTACATGGGCAATCAACACATTTCTACCTTTCAAAGCTGCAGGACTAGACGGTATTTTTCCGGCTCTCCTGAAATGGAGCGGTGACATAATAGCTGAACACTTGGTTCAACTTTTCCGGGCATGCCTAGCTCACCGATACATACCTTTGAAATGGCGTGAAGTGAAAGTAATTTTCATTCCGAAACCTGGCAGAGGTGACTACACACAGGCCAAGTCCTTTCGACCAATTAGTCTCACATCGTTTTTACTAAAAACAATGGAGAGGCTTTGCGACAAAGAGATCAGAGACCTGATATGTATAAACAAACCACTGCACACCAACCAACACGCCTACAGTGAAGGCAAATCAACGGAATCAGCACTCCACAGCGTCGTAAGTCGCATTGGTAACTCGCTAAACTCAAAGCAGCCTACCCTAGGTGCCTTCATAGACATCGAAGGGGCCTTTGATAAAACGAACTTTACCAGTATCAGTCGCGCTCTTGCCATACATGGAGTACCAACAACTCTCATAGAATGGATAAACAACATGCTGAAAAACCGTGCAATCCAGTTCACCGTAAACACTACCACACGTGGGATCGTAAGTAGAGGATGTCCACAAGGAGGGGTCCTGTCGCCACTCCTGTGGAACTTAGTTGTTAATGAACTCATTGAGGAGCTCAACGACAACGACCTCTACACGGTAGGTTACGCAGACGACATTGCTGTACTTATATCAGGAAATTTTGAGGGAACCTTATGCGATCGCATGAGAGAAGCCTTCAGAACAATAGAGAGATGGTGCGAAAACCATGAACTCTCCGTGAATCCTTCTAAAACAGAACTCATCATGTTCACCAACAAAAGAGCTCCAGGTACTTTCAATTTACCGAAACTCTTTGATACAGAGCTTAAACTTAAGGAGGAGGTCAAGTACTTGGGAGTCATACTAGACAGCAAACTTCTCTGGAATAAACACCTTGATCACAAAATTAACAAAAGCACAATTGCATTCTATCAATGCAGGAAAATGCTTGGTAATAAATGGGGTGTCTCCCCGAAAATAACTCTCTGGCTATACACATCAGTAATAAGACCAATGCTGGTATATGGGGCCTTGGTTTGGTGGACAAGGTCGAAACTTACGACCACTGTCAACAAATTAAGATCTTTCCAAAGACTTGCATGCTCCTCAGTTACTGGATGTATGAAAACACCCCCAACAATGGCAATGGAAATAGCCCCTAACATTACACCCCTTGACCTATACATACAGCAAGAAGCAGCTATAGCTGCCACAAGATTATACCATCTTGGTCTATGGGGCAAAAACCATTACAGTTCTCACACAACTATCCTGAACCAAGCAATCGAATATGAACCTTTGATTGCCGCTCCGTGTGACAGAACTCAAGCTTACCACTCGTTTAACAGGAAATACCAAATACAATTGAAGGAGGAGGAAAGGGACCAATCTGCAGTAAATGAACTACGCATCTACACAGATGGCTCCAAAACACAGAACGGTTCAGGAGCTGGGGCATTCCCTTGACCTCAATATGAACATATCCATACCGCTCGGCAAACACAGTTCGATCTTTCAGTGCGAATGTGTTGCCCTGACCGAGGCAGCAAAAGCTGTATACAGGTTAGGGGTCAACAATTTCAACATTAAATTCATATCGGACAGTGCAGCCGTGCTTAAAGCACTACAGAACAGGAAATCCAACAACAAACTAATAATCGAGTGCCACATCGCCCTGGAAAAAATTGCAACGCATAACGGAGTAATTATCCAGTGGATAAAGGGGCACAGCGGATCATATGGCAATGACGCCGCGGACGAACTAGCGAGAGTAGGATCCGGTATGGTGGTTGCAGGCCCCCTCCCGCTCATGCCAATACCATTCTCGCAATTTCGCACCTGGATTCGCCAGAGATCCACCGAAGTACAAAACCAAAGATGGAACTTAACCACTGATTGCAAACAATCTAAAGTGGCAATTCCAAAAACGAACCATCGGTTAACAACACGTCTACTTAATCTAGATAGACAAAACCTCAAAATAATGATAGGGACAATAACGGGCCATTGTTCCTTAAACAAACACTTATACAAAATTGATGCTACAGACAGCCCCCTCTGTCGGGGCTGCTTTGAAGCTGAAGAAACGGCGGCTCACGTAATCCTGGAGTGCACGGCAGTGGCCGAACAACGAAAACAAATCCTCGGAACGGTGAGGTCGCTCCGTGAAGCCTGCGAAGACACCAGGAGTCTTCTGCGCTTTTGGGAGGAGCTTGGCTGGCTACGTTAGTAGTCTGGCTCTACACGCACAACGGCCCGAATGTGAGGCTAATTGCGGAGAATGGAGTCTAACATACCATACCATACCGATACTACTCTCAAAGTTTGTTTAAAATCCTCACAAAACAGCATCGATACGTCGCCCATAGGTAGGTCATTTTGCAGATAACACTGAGGGTTCGATGAACCGCCTCTACTACTTTTCGATGTGCCATAGTGCACTCGTCCCAGATTATTAAACAGCAATTGCGTAAAACGTTCGCTTTGTACACGCTGGGTGTACACTCATGCCCAAATCGATGGGGATCTTGAACAACGTATGAGCAGTTTAGTCATTAGGTAATAAAGTGGCCGCTATTCCAGACGATGTTTCGGCAAAAGCTATCTTGTCTTGAGCTCGTAATTGTATTCAAACTTTTGAACCAAAAACAGAATTTCTGCAATGGCTAGTTCCACTGGATCATAGTTTATTTTGCAGTGCATTCTCTATGAATGGGGAATTACATTTGTATTCTGCGTGGGCTAGAATAGAATAGAAAATAGAATAGAATAGAATAGAAAATAATTTATTCAAATAAACTTACATTGAAGCACTTTTGAATAGTCATAACATTTTTTTTTTAATCTACCGCTCATTCGGAATGCTGTCTCATCACAAAAAGAACAAGCAAGAAACTTGTGTGTTGCTCTTTTAAATAATTTATTCTTACTTACAATTTAAGTTTAAGTGTGTTAATACAAACCACCGATTAGCACTAATTCAATGAAATAATAAAATAGAAAAAACATTCAATATACAACAACTGGTTAAATAATTAATAAGAGAAAATAAGTCATAGTGATTAGAGCAGACCAGTCCACACAAGCAGCACCCGTTCACGAGTATGACGGATGAGCCAGCCACCACTGCGCTCGACCATATTTTAGGGAGCCCAAAGACCCGGCCCACCACGCCGCCACAAGTCTGGACATTTTAGTAAGCATGACTACTCAAAACACCAGACCTCGTCATAGCTACTCACAATTGCCATCTAATGGTTATAGTATTCACATTTCACATAAGAATGCATGCGGCAAACAATACAAAAACCGCTACGCTTTCATATTTCTAAAATAATTGTATCAAGAAAGCAATGAGATAAACAAATTATAACGTTGTATGCTAATAAACTAATTATTTACTTGATATGTTGTCGTCTATGAATTCGTCTATCCTGTAATAGGCTTTCTTACACAAAAATTGTTTAATATAAGATTTGAATTGCCTCTCTGTCAGATTTAGTGCAGATTCTGGCAGTTTATTATAAAATCTTACGCAATTACCATAGAATGAATTACTGACTTTGTGCAAACGGCATTTAGGTAAAATTAGCTTATTTTTATTGCGTATTTAAGTTTCTATTTGTACAGTCTTTAAGTTTTTTAAAACTCTCTAAATTCTTCCGTGTATACATGATATTCTCATAAATGTATTGTGAAGTAACGGTGAGGATATTTGAATCTTTAAAACACTGACGTAATGCCTCTCTTGAACCCATACCATAATTAGAACGTATGGCTCTCTTTTGTAAAATAAATATAGTATTTATATCGGCTGTTTTACCCCACAGCAGTATACCATATGAGATAATGCTATGGAAATAACTAAAGTATACAAGTTTAGCCGTCGCCACGTCTGTTAATTGCCTAATTCTTCTAA